TGGTTAACCGGTTAATTTAACCGGTTAATTTTAACTGGTTAATCAAAAAGAATTAACCGGTTAAAAAAAGATCTTAAACGGTTAACGGTGCCAACCCCTAGGCCAATTCTGAACCCTACGTAGGTTTATGTAAGATTTATTTTCCTGATAATATTCATATCTATATTTAGTAATAATTTTTATCCTTAGTTATGATATATTGTACTATTATAATTTACTTATTCATATTTAAAAGACACATAAATAAAGATCATAAGAGCAATCATTAGTAATCCGTAGAATTCTTAGAGATTTTGAATTATTAATCGAATGTGCTAATCACTAGAAAAGTTTCCCGTTTTATCGAAAATTTTAGCTATAGTAAAAGCGGTCGCGTTTACTTCGTCGAAAATTATTTCGTCGACAATCATTTCGTCGACACCCATTCCGTCGAAAGTTTGTCTCATCGAATGTTCATTTCGTTGAATGTTCATTTCGTCAAAAGTTCATTTCGTTGAAAATTATTCATCCTCGAGTCAGAGACTGAACGAGTTAGATGTGAGGAGTGTGGGAAGTTAGTTAAGAAATTAGGTGAGAAAAGCGGAGTGTGTGGAAAGTGTGAGGAGAAATTTGTTTAATGAAGTTTTTTTTTTGTGACGAAATAATTTTCGACGAAACAAACTTTCGACGAAATGGGTGTCGATGGAATGACTGTTGATGAAATTATTGTCGACGAAATGAATCTATATGTGTATGTATATATGATATATATTAATAATGATTTTATTTTTATATTAAATGTAAATGGAAATATCATTTTATGAAAATAAAAGAAAATTGAATTTGTCATTAAAAATATTTGAGAAATTAATTGCCTCTAAAGATGTTAATTATTATTGTACATTAATTTTGATATATACATATTGAATACATTCTAAGAGTTTCTAGTAATTCTTCAATTGAAGCTAAAGAATTATTGTAATCGGTTGCAATATTTCTGGTTGACTTATATCTTTTAAATGACTTGTCATCGTCTTTCTTTTGTATTTTTGATTCTGTCATATTGCACTATAAAATTATAAGGATTTGAACATAGGGAATCGCTAATGTTTACGAAAAATTATCATTTATCAGCTTTTTTCTTGGGCCTCTTCAGTAACATTACTAATTTTTCCAATCAAGAATTGGTTTTTAGACGGCATTTTTAATTTTATAAATAGATTGCAATTTTGAAAAGTGCGATCTTCTCCGACAGTTAGTATATAGAAGTGCATTTTTTTAAAAAAACTTGGTGTAATTTAACCCAATAAAGAAAATTTATGAAATTCCAAATACAGTTGTCGCAGGGAAGTTTGATTGGCTAAATAATCTGTTTAATTGCAAAAAATTTTAATTAACACCTCGGTATTATAATAGATGCTTTAATGGAAATACTTGCAAGATTATTAAGTCCATGTTGTTTATAATGATTCACCTGAAGTTTTACACCTGATTGTCTTTTCGGGTAATATATATATATTGATTTACTATACTTGCATATAATTATTAATTGAATATTGATACTAGGATCTCAAGATGGAATGATTTATGTATGGGATATCGAAACACCTCAAATAAGATATCTGGTGGTTTACCTTATGCATATCATTGGTCAAGCAATTCCAAATTTAATCCAAAAAGATTAATGTTGGCAAGTGGCT